ACGTCAACAAATCCCAGCTAAACACTCTTAATCTACTATTACTATAAAAGAAAGAAAGAGCAAGAACCAGATCATCCTATCCATCAAAACCTGCAATCTAATGGTCTACATTCCTCCAGCATACTAAACGTGTTTTACGTTTTAATTACCCACAATGCCATTACTTAATCTACTACCCCACCCGCATGAAAAAATAAGGCGGCTGCTAGGCGTCATCCGCCTGTTAATATCACAGTTAGCATCCCGCAAAACAGCCGTTGGATTTTATTATGCGCGGGCGTCGGATTTAAGCCACGTGTACACCCTCCCGACCAGTTCCTGTTGTCGTTACCCGTGTTGCTGCAACCGTTTCGTGGAAGCATAATCCCCACCTTCTCTGTAGCTCCTCTGCGCCCGTCCGACGCCAGGGCGAGGAGGAGATCCACGCCGCCGACGCCGCGTCGCCTCTACCACAGCTGCCGCCAACGCAGCATCGACTCTGCCACCGCCGCAAACGACGCCGCATGCCTCTACCTCGCCGCCGTCGAGGGAGCAACGCCCCTGTTCACCTTCCAGCGCCATGGCAGCTCACCACATAGTTCGATCTATGTTGTCGGCCGCCATGGATCGAAGCTCCGGTGCTCCATCGAGTAGCAGGAAGGCCAGATCGGCCCCGATTCTCGACGGCGAGCCGATTCACCGGAGTGGAGCTGCAAGGGAGCTCCGTGATCCTCCTGTCTTCTCTGCTGAAGCCTCCCGGGCAAGCTCGTCACAAAGTTTGGTAAGTTTCAAGCTCATCACATGCATGAAGCATTCAGGTTGTTTTGACTTCTGCTATGTCAACTGAAAAAAGGCAGTATGAATTGCAGCATATCTCCTTATGCCAACTGAAAAATTCCTTAAAGTGTGTACAGAAAAAACTCCTCCCAATTTCAGTTTAGAAATGCTCCAAACAAAATGTGATGGGGGAGGTAGTCTGAAAAAATGCTCCTTACACTTTCAGTTTAGAAAATGCACCAAATAAAAATGCGCAGGAGGAAGTCAATTCATGACTGTGTATAATTTGCTACTTGCAAAATTCAGTTTAATATTTGCAAAAACAAAAATGCTGGGTGGGGGTTATCTGTATGTTGTGAAAATTATATAGCACCGGTGCTATTTTGACTATGTTGCATCGTTTTAAACAGCGATCATGCTGGATAAAAGTTCCTTTACTAGAATTTTTTTAAATAGAAATGTTGCATCAGGTAGGAAAAAGCTAAATTGTATTACAAAAAATTTATCAACTTGATTACTTTGCTTGTAGCACTGTGATCATTGAAGTAGAAAAGATGTGAAAGCATTTTGTTTAGTAACATGAGGTGAAAACATGGAAACATGAACACAAAAATCGGATGTAATACATCTTTTATGCTAGAAGCACTACTTTCTTGCATATTATACCTTTTTACCTTTTTTACTGACATTGTGATAACTTTTTTCTGCAACAACAAAAATAGGATGCTGGTGCTGGAGGTGATGATGATGAGAGCTATGTTGTGGGGCGAATTTCTGCTGCAAATGGAGTTAGTATGGAAGGGATGATTAATGCTGGTGATATCCAACATGATGTGGATGATGCAGATGATGATGCAATATCATCGCAACCACTTGTTCCATATGTGGGCATGACCTTTGATTCAGTTGACGATGCAAGGAAATTCTACAACACATATGCTTTCAGGCATGGGTTTGGAATCAGAACATCTGCTTCAAAAAACAGCCAGGCCAGAGGATCCACAAAGCTAATTAGCAGGACTTTCACGTGTGTTCATGCACGAACTGATGGAAGCAAAAGTGAATCTGATAGCACTACAGAGAGTATTGCAACAGAGTCAAGCAACACTGGCAAACGCCCTAGACTTTGGATGATCATGGCAGACACAAGAAAAAGGAATAGGTTGCAACGTCATGATTGCAAGGCTCACATGATAGTTGGACTCCGAGATAACCGATGGACCGTCACGTGCTTTACAGACGACCATACACATGCTCTGGTGCAACAGGAAGAGAAGGTTAGGTTTTATCGGTCTCATCGAAAAATCCCACGAGAAGACCTCCAAATGATAAGGACGTTGCATGAACGCAACTTGTCAACCTCGGATTGCATGGGAATCCTTGGAGATTGTCACGGAGGTGATCAGAGGCGCCTTGGTTATGTCAAAAGGGATGTTTCAAATGCACGGTCCGAAATGCGGCAAACCATGGCGTTTCAGGACATGGCCATGACAATTGAATACTTTGAGAGGCGGCAAGCTGAAAGCCCACAGTTCTTCTATGCAACACAAGTGAATAAGGAGACAAATGAGGTAGAAGCATTGTTTTGGGTGGATGGAAGGACAAGAGCACTATACCCCAAGTACAAGGACTATGTCTTTTTCGATACAACCTTTTGCACAAACAAATATAATATGCCTTTTGCTCCGATCGTAGGCATCAACAACCATCTTCAGACTATTGTCCTAGGTTGTGCAATTCTTCCAAATGAGCAAACTGAAACCTTCAAGTGGGTCTTTCGGCAATGGTTGCTTGCGATGAACAATGAGTACCCAACAAACCTTATGACCGACCAGTGCAGAGCAATGGAAACTGCAATTTCTGATGTGTTCCCTCACACAATCCATAGATGTTGCAGGTGGCATGTACAGCGGAAGGCGCGTGAGAAACTTGGGAGGATGCTTACAAGGGATTCAATTTTTGAGAAAGCTTTCTATGAATGCATCAATGAATCTGAGACAGTGGATGAATTTGAAGAAACATGGCAACACATGTTGCATTGCTTCAAATACACGGACAATAGGCACTTACAAAACATGTGGGAATGCCGTCAGACATGGGCTCCTGCATACTTCAAAAATGATTTCTTCCCTTTCACAAGCACAACCGGGAGATCGGAAGGGCTGAATTCTTATTTCAAAACGTTGGTGCATCCACAAAACTCGGTTTTCACATTTGTAAGGCAGTATGAACTCCTACAAGAAACAATGCTAGACCGTGAAGATAATACTGCTTTCACTGGAGAAACGACAACAACACCCCTATGGGGTCGATACAGAATAGAGCGCCAAGCTGTTAACTTCTACACACGCAGCGTCTTTGGCAAGTTCCAAGAGCAAGTGGCAGCATCAACAGCTTATATAATCAACCAAGTGCCTAATCTTGAGCAGGAAGGTATCATGTTTGAGCTTTACTCAAACTTGTATGATAATCCAAAGTTGTACCATGTGCATGCTATGATAGAAGAGGGGCTGTACTCATGTAGCTACCATTACTTTGAGATGAATGGTGTGCTTTTCTCACACATCATAAGGGTGATGATACGGCTAAATGTGCAAGAAATTCCAAGTAGATACATGCTGGAAAGGTGGTCCGAAGCAGCTATGACAAACATGGACACATCTGGGAGGTTCCTTGAGTTTGGACTACCAGAAACAAACACTCTCAAGTACAACTCACTGTGTAGAGACATGAATGCATTGGCAGCAGAAGCAAGCTCTGTTGATCCAGCTTACAACTTACTGACAGATGTGATGAAGCAGCTCTGGCCCATAGTTGCTTCAATGAAAAAAGAGCAAATGGCAAGGAAAGATGTGGTGCAGCAGCAACAACCCCCTTGAGCAGGTGAATCTAATGATGAAACTGGAGCAAACCCACAACCATCAGCACCGCTACAAAATGCTGCTCGTGTGCCGAAGCAAGGTCGACCAACAGAACGAGCAAAAAGAAAAAAGACATTGTTGGAGTAGCGAGAAGAGGAGCATAAGAAGAAGCTTCAGAAAGAAGCCAAGAAAGAAAGCAAAAAAGCATCCAAGAAAGAAAGCAAGAAAGAAGACAACGTGGAGTCATCGAGCAAGCCAAAACCTAGGAGGAAAGTTACTTGTTCATTTTGCAGTGAAGAAGAACACACTATCAAAACCTGTGAGTCATTCCGTGAGTACAAGGCAATGATGGCTACTAATCTTACAACAAAATGTCAGTTTTGCTCCGAGGAAGGCCACACAATGCAATCATGCATTCACTTTAAAGCTGCGATGGCAAAAGTCGAGGGACATGCTCAATAGGGTCATCTGTAGTTGAATTTCATGTATTAGCAATTTTAAAAGTGTAGTTTCGAAAGTAGCACATATTTGTACTGGGTAGAAGTACTGAAAAATTATGTGCACTTTGTTAGAGGTTTTGGTTCATATTACTGCTCATGTTGCTGCTCATATTGCTCGTGTTACTACTCATGTTACTTCTCAAAAAACCATGTATGTTCAAAAAGTTCATATTGCTGCTACAAAAAAAGGTGACGGCGAAAAAATTATGAAGCATTCTTACTGTGTTTTGTGGTGAGTTGAGAAGGATCTATTTTAAATAATGTTACATAATTTTCAGTTATTAAATAAAAATGAGTTTCTCAACATGTGTTGATTCTCTCAAAATAATTTCAAGTAAATTTTTTTGAGAATGCTTCTAGCGCTCACTGCTTAGTTGCAAAATCTCCCAGAATGCTTCTTCCAGCAACATTTATCACAAAAAGCTGTTGCTTCAAAAAAAGAAATTGTACAAAAAATGTTTCATGAACATGCTTCCTCTAGCCATTCCGATTCCTTAACATTGTGGCTGATTTTGTGACAACATAAGGAAGCACATGGTAGAAAAACACACATGAAAACCCAAAAAAATGAAAAGCATTCCATGAACTTGTAAAACTTGAGCACCAAACAGCGAAAAAATTATAACTTGCTTACAAATTCACCACATAGTTATAGCTTCCATCAAATCTCGAAACAAAAAAAATATGTTTCCTTACTACAAACTACTGATAATTATTCCAGCCATCCAAAAGAGCCCAACATCTGGTTTCATTACATGGAGTCTCATTTGGCACACAAAGATAACAGAGATGCACTACTAGCGAAATGAATTACCCAAAATTGCAAAGTTGCATCTTCAAGGCCGCTGCAAACGCCTTCTACAATGCAATGTGGTCACTTCCTTCAAGCCGCTATGATCGCCTTATGCACATCAGCAGGGAAAACCTTGTTCAAAGGATGGAAAAACAACTTCGAAGCAATGGTCTTCCGCACATCAAGCATATTTTGCTGCATTAAAAAGGTGAAAAAATGGAGAAAGAATAAACCAAACATTATCAGAGACGCAAACTTATGAAAAAGTACCAAAAAAGCAAGATCATCAAATTTTTACCTTCTTGAAATCATTCATCATTTGGCCATCAAAATTTTCAAGGTACATTGTTGAAAACAATCCACAATCAAAGCTGTTTTCATTACACCATACATAAAAAAATTGGGTTGAGAAAAAGGTTTAAGGTTTTACATAAAAAGGACATCGAAAAACACTACTTTTATGGATGGGGTGTATGATTAGACTTACTGAGTTGATTGTTGTGGGTAGTCAAGCACAGGCCAGTCTGTTTTGAAAGAAGATAGATCCGCTGTGAAATCCGACTCTTCGGTAGCAATCCTCTTGAAATTGATAAACTGCAGAAATATGAAACATTAGCATAAAAAAAGTAGTGGCTATGTCAAACACGAAAAGTGATGGGGGGGGGGGAATGCTACCACCACTAAAACATGAGACACATTCAGATTCACTCCCAACAAAAAATTGAGCATGTGTTCATTGGGGGATCTGCTTTTTTCATTTTAATAAACAAATGAAAACTACACATAGAAAAATATAAAGTGTTACTTGCCAGATTCCTTGCAGCAACGTCCAATTTCCCGTCATCCAAAGAGTCAAACATATTGAACTCCTTGTGCAAGAGGTTAACCACACAGACAATCCAGTGGCCATCACGGACGATGGTGAAGAAAAGCTAGAAAAGAAGTAAAGACAAGATATATGTTAAAATGGAATAAACTATAGGGAGCATAAAAAAATTGAGTAAAAAAATGTTGGGAGCAGACTTACTAGGTCGAAACCTGAAATCTGAAAATTTTGGCACGCCTTCCTCAGCTCTCTTGCACAAACACTCGGATCAAAAACTTCTGGGTGGACAGAGAGTTGAAGCTGCAACACATTGGACATAAGGAGAAGACATGAGAAAAAATGATGGATAACTTCTGCAAATAGGGCATAAAACTCTAGAAAACTGATGGCAATAAAACGGAGCAACAATAGATGAACTAACACTCATTAAAACAGAGAAAGCAAATTTCTTCTGCTTCTTTGAAGACGACAACTGTTCAATGTTGAAGGTTTCGATGAATAAAGACATGACTTCGTTGCAAATCTGAGCACGTGGCTTCAACGACTTCTGGAAGTTGGGGTAGGTAATGTGGAAATCACCAATCCTAATGAAAGGAGGCCTGCAACAAGAAGGATGGAGCACAAAAAATTAGAGTGGAGCGTTTTGACAAAGGCGAAAATGTAATAAATATGAGATAACAACATGATGGAAGCAAAAATCAGTAAAAAGATGACACTTACTCAATTTCCCCTCTCTTCATCTTCTCCATCTTGTACCTCTTCATGACATAGTACTGGTACATTGCTTCCATCTTTGAATCTGTCTTGATTTTCTTGTACTTTGATCCGGCTGACATTGGACTCCCTACTCTTTTCTTGCTCTTGAGCTTGTTCTCGTCCTTACTCTTCAACTTCTCCTTGTTGAGGTCCGGACTTGGTTCCCTGCTGCTAACTAGAACAACTGGCTCTCCTTGTGTTTTCAATGGTCCATCTTACAAAAACAAAGGAAAAATTGATTTTCTAGAAAAATGTTGCGAGCAGAGATTTGTTCAAAAACAAACTAGTAGTAGGGCATACCTGCAGCCCCGCTCGAGAATGGAGCCATGGAGATTGGTGTCACATCAAACACTGGAGCTTGTGCTTCTGTTGAGATTGGAGCCCGAGGAGTCACATCAAAAACAGGACAAGACTTTGGTGTTGTAGCAGTGTTTCCATTGCCATTGGGTGGAGCATTGGAGTTCCCATCTTGACTTTGGACACTAATCCACCAATCATACTCCTCGGTGCCCTCTTGGAACAGACACATCGATGGCGCATCACTCCAATCTCCAGCCACAGTAGTATGTATGTATTGATTGCGCTGGCTGAGTTGGTGACCATGCTCAATATCTTCACAACTAGCCACTTTATCCTTTGCATTCTCAAAACACTCTGCAGGGGGGTCAATAACAACAGGACTAGTTCGTGTGCCCTTCTTAACCACATTGCTGCCATTACACTCATGAGCATTGTTGTTTGCATGATTGCTTCGAGCTCCTTCAGCAGACTCAACCACCTTGTGTGTTGTTGGCTCATCTGCAGCCTTCCTGCTAGAAGTTTCTTTGGTACATCCATGATGATCTGACTTGTCTACATCATTGCTGCGAGGGGGTGGCACATGAAAACTAACATCCGCTGCTTCCTGAGAGCTTGGCGAAGCAGCGTGCACATCTTTGAGTAGGTGCCCCATTCGCTTGCAATGCATTGCTTGCAACACTTGCCCAAAAGAGCTAAGAGCACCTTTTAACTCCGAAGAAAAAAGTTTTGTGTGCTTGTCGTAGATTGCAGCCAGATTTGATGGTAGCTGACAAAATGTATAGAAAGAAATTGTCATCGGTATGGAAGCAACATATAATAGAACTAGAAAAAAGAAAAAAGCGATAGAAAGGTATTTAAAAAAATTTAAAAACAGAAAAATAAATACATAAAAAAACCTCACCTCGAGCTCTGCCCCAAATGGTGTTGGGTTCTGAAGCCAATCATCTAGTGAACCACACACATCTCCATCGGTGCTTTTGCCATCTTCTGTTGGATTGCTACCTTCTGTAGGATTCTGTTTCGCAGCCATGTCATCCTGGTTATCATCAATGTTGATATTTTCATCCCCACGATCTTGAGTATCACTGCAATCTGGGTTGTCCGAAACATGCTGATCTTGAGCAACTTCACTGTTGTTTCCTTCATGTCCTTGGGCAAGCAATGCTGCATAAGGTGTCTCTGACAAAGGGCGAAACTACATGACACAAAGTAAAAAGAAACAAGTATTAAAACCATGAGTACACAAGCATAAAATAAAAAAGGGCAGATAAAAATGGGAAAGAAACAATACTGCAAAGATGGATAAGGAGAGTAAAACCAAACAAAAAACTTACCCGACACTTCCCGAATGATGGTTTGCCCAAAGAAAGCTTGTTCCTATCATATTCCAACACAATATCAAAATCAGTCTGATGCACAAAGCAAGCCCTTGGGAGAGAATAGTTTAATTTGTGCTCGTTGATGGCAGCTTGAGGAAATATCAAATGGTCCATGTAAATAACCTGAATAGGAAGACAAGACATAATATATCAGACACAAAAAAGAAAAAAAATGTGATTTTAAAAAACACAAACATGTTGTGATATATAGAAAAATTCCAAAAAAGAAAGAATTGTACAGCAAGCATAGGGAAGCATCCCCCAACCCAGAATGAAGTAGAAGCATGTTTTTTAATCTTGTCCTGACACTTCTTGACCTGTCTCATTGCAACACTTAAAACATGCTCATCCTAAGCAAAATCAGTGACCTTGTCCATATCTTCGAGGCTTTTCAAGTACTCTAGGGGCACCATGTTGCCAGTGCTTGGAGTTAAAACTGTTGCAAGCGCTAAGAGCACCCATGACCTCTTTGTAGTATTTCCATCATGGTCCCCTGCCCAATGAAGCACATCCACTGTATGCGCAATTGGAGCCCTGCCATTCTTGTGATAAATGTTGCGGAGCTCGCAATGATGGTGTCTCTTGAAAAGCTCAACTGGTTTGTTGCCTGATGGGATGTTGAAAACCTTCTTCACCATGTCTCTAGTGAACACAATGACCTTATTCCGACTCAGCCTGAAAACCCCCCAAAAAATATTGTATTAATTCCTTGCTATCAACATGGCCTAAAGAGAAAGACAAAAAGTATATGATGCAGGGGAAAAAAGGAAGAAAAGAAAAAGGGTGGGTGCAATACCTCAGCTCATGAGTGTCAGTGTCGATATTCATAGTTATCCACTCCATCAGATCATGTGGTATTGTGAAAGGGGAGATGCTCGTGAGATCACCAAAGCCAGTTTCATTTATGTATTCCCTCTTCCTATCATTGAGCTTTGTATTCGCAACTTCACGCAAGCGTTTTGCTGCAAAGCGTTGACTGAATGCAGTATCAGACTCCATTACTTCTTCCTCCGACATGAAACTGCAAAAATCAAAATGAATAAAAAATGTAGTGGGGTACAAAAAACATTACATAATTACTACAGAAGCGACGGTCATTCAGATTTTAGCATACTCGACATCTACCAAAAATCATAACAATGAAACAAAAACAAAAAAGTACCATATGTTCAAAAAGTTATTAAACTGAGCTGGTTTTGCAGCATAAGTGATGGTCGTCGCGGCATAGTCTATAAGTGATGTGTCTCTAGCTAGTTAAGTTTTCCTGATGCAGTAGATTTGGCTTTGTAGATCAAGTATCTAATATCACACACTGTAGTTTGTATTTTCCTAACTAATGGGAAGAGAGTTATCAATGTGAGAAGGAAGCATCTCCACCCGAAAAAGCAGAGTAAGGCGGTCTAGCTCTGGTTCAAAAACAGTCGACCAGAGCAAGTAAAAGCTGCAGGCAAGTAAAGTCAGAGCAAAAAAGCAAAGGAACCACACTTACAGCATGTATCTATACATCAATTCCAAAAACACTGACTTTCATTCTAAGAAAACCCCCTAGGCTAAACAACAAATGTAGCATAAAACTTGCCTGACCACATAGCAGCATAAAAACCTATGCAACATAAAAAACATTCCTGACCAGATAGCAGCATAAACACCTACCCAAACATAAAAACTTGCCCTGACCAGATAGCAAGCATGAACACCTATGCAACCATAAAAACTTGCCCTGATAAGATAGCAGCATTGCAAAAATGTAACATCACTGACAAACCTAGTCATCCACTCTCTGAAAATCTTGTCCCCTATCCCTAAAGTCTCAACTACAAACATTTCCAAACCCTATCTACAACATGGAGCGATCAACACACCAACCCCTAGGTGAAATGGGGGTGAATTTGGCGACATAGAGGGAGTAACTGCTCAATTGAAACCCCTGAACGAACAAAACTCATGAAATTCGACCCGGATCTACTCATCCAACACTGTGAACTACTGGGATTAATCGCGAAATGAATCCCTAAAAGGAGATCAAGCAGCGCGGGGAGAAAATTTCTACGAACCGTAGGACACCATACCTCTCGTCCGCCGCCGCAACTAGAGGGGGGTCATGTAGCTTGGCGCCGTCGCCGACGATGCTCGCCGCCGCCCAAACCTCCGGTTCCCTTGCCGTCCCCGCAGCATCCAGTTCCCCTGCCGCCGCCAGGATTCTGGATCTAGCAGTCGCCTGCGTCATCGCCCGAGCTAGAGAGAGGATGGGGATCACAAAACGATGGAAGCAGGAAGGGAGGGCGAGCTAGTGGGGGGTCGAAGCAAAAAAAAAACACCTGGGACACGTGCTTCAACGCCCCTGGTAGTAACGCCCCTCCACCGTCTGATGCCGCGTGATCCAACGGCTCGCGAGACGGTCGCTCTGATGGCTGCGTGCATCCGGCTGTTTTAGAGCGTTTTCCAAAAAATAACCTCCGGCCATGCACGCACGCACGCCCCGCACATCCCACGCCCCGCACCTCCGCTCAAGGAACAGAGCACGGCCGGGGCCTCCACTGCCATCCGCCCCCATCCGCCTCCATCCTCCGTCGCCGCCGCCTCCACTGCTCCCGCCTCTGCCGCCTCCCGCATCCCCCTATTTTGTTGCCTCTCCCGCCTCCCCGCCCATCTTCCTCCGTCGCTGTCGCCGCGGCCTCCGCCGCTCCCCGCCTCCACCCTCCGCCGGTCCTCTGCCGCCGCCGCCGTCAGCCGATCCTCTTCTCCGCCGCCGCGAGTGTGAGCCTGACGGCTACCCCTCGCTTCCTGGCACGTCCCCCACACACCTGACGTCGCCTCCCCGCCTCTTCCCTTCTCACATCCATGCCGCCATGCGCAAGCCTCACTCCCTTCCCCTCACGATGCCCCTCCCCGTCGGCGTCCTCCCTCTGCAACATCGCCTTTCCACGTGGCCGCACGACGGTGCCTCCCCACGAGCCCCCACGCTCCTCGACGACCAGGTCACCACCACCCCTGACCGGACAAGCGATGGTTCTATGACGGACAAGATGATGGGTATGGGGACACTACAGCCGATGAACACGGCTCAGAGCAGACTTGCTAATTTGGCAATTGTGCAGGAGCCCCTCCCTCTGCAACATCAATTTTCCAATGCGCAGGTGAGCCATCTGCTTCCAACGGTGATCTGCCCTAAATTCTTTTCCAGTGTTTTTCCCCATTGTGGTCTACTTTTTTCTGCTGATTTGATTGGCTCGCCTAGCAGGAGCCTCGGGAGCGAGACGTTGCTGCGCCTCTTTATGTTTTTAGTGTTTTTGTTTACTAGCATTGTGTTCTGCTTCGAGATTCAAAGAACAATAGATGCATTGTGAGACTAATATATGCCCAGAATTAGCAAAGAGCCTAAGACATACTCAACATTTTTCTTAGCTAAGATAGTTATGAAAAAAGAGACTTTGTTAATCAGTACTGAAATGCATAACACCTATGCTACAATGTTATTTTTCGTTGTATATAATGTGAACAACATGATTTTTTTTTCAGGTCATAAATTGCTTGGAAAAATGCAACATCGATGCTAGAATCCCGAGGAGACTATGGCCGGTGGTGGAGATTATTTTGTGTGCTGACGGTGGTGGCTACACGGCGGAGGCCCACACACTCGACTTCGACATTGCCATCTTCAACAAGAAGGTGTCCTTCGCCGGCCAAGATCAGGTTCGCACCTGCACTCCCGTTCCCATTCCTTAACCCTCTCCCGAAATTGGTTTCTGATGTCTTTTGTTTTGTGTGTGCCTCTGCAGTATATGGCGGCGGGCGGGCGGAACCTCTTCCCACTGCTCCCGGAGGCGTCAAGGGTGTCAAGCCCTCCGCCGTGATCGGATGGGGCTCCCAGGTTCATTCCCAGCTTTGCTTTGCTTCCTCACTATGCAGTTTCTCTCCTATCTGTCAAGATTTGCTATGCCTCTCTCTGCTGTTATTCTACTGAAAATTGTTCTTGGAGCATCAAAGCCAATTGCTTGACTGGTAAACATGTGTAGGAGGATTCGTTGTTTAGCGTTATTAGACCTCTATAAATACATGTATAGGAGGATTCTTGGAGCTTTGTACAAATAGTAAGGCCATCAAAGCTAATTGCTTTACTGGTGAACATGTATAGGAGGATTCTTGGAGCTTTGTATATACATGTTTGCTCTGTGCTATAAATAAAGACTCTCCTTAGTGGTGAGAATAAAAAGGAAGAAATTTATTATTCACAATAAAATTTTATTGGGTGAACCGTAGAAGCTGACTTTGTTAGAGAAAGGTTCAGAACCCACCCTTTCTTTCTTGAAGGATTGAGAAGATTTTGACTTTGGAACCTTTTAGATGCACACAAAGAAAGCAGATTGTGCTGGTTGATAATGATGGTGAGAAGATCAAATTTATTTTATGGGGAGAGCGGTTTCACATATTGTACTTGTACAGAAAGAGAGCTATTGTGTTTCTTTTCAGAGGATAACTTTTGTCAGCCATTGTGTTGCTTGCAAGCAGAATACTTACTGATTTAGTTCTCACACCGATTCTGCTGAAGCTGTGATTTGTACCGAGTTATATTGTGTCAATCCTAACGTTGGTATATGCAACCTAACATGTTGAGTTTACTGCAACGAAAACAAAAAGAATTTAATATTTTTTTTGATAACAAAAAGAATTTAATATTGTATATGGTGTTACATGTCATAATATGTTTAGTTCCTGTTAGCTATCTTCTGCTTTCAGTCCATGGAGACTTGCAAAATATGCAAAACCACAAACTAGGTGCAATCTGATGTTCCGTTGGTAGAACTCGCTTTTTGAGAAAATAGTACCCAACGTTCCATGCTTTCCACTCGCTTTTGGTGATTATTTTGCCATTATGTAAATAAAGGGAAACTGTTGAGAACACTTCGGATCCCCCTCCCTGCACCACACATCATGCTGTTTGATACAATTTGTGATATATCTTGCATGTTTGAAACCATATTTTGTACAAATACATCTGCAGGTCATTAGGTAGAGTTGGAGTTAGTCATATGTTGTACATCTCTGATCTAACTCAAGAAATTTCTTCCTACAATTATACGTGCATTGCACGTGCAAGCTTACTAGTTGTCTAAAAAAATAAACACTCTCAAATTTCAAAATAGACCGCGATCATAAAGTTTGGTGTGCTGATTTCAAGGATTGAAAACTCAGGATTTGATTTAGCTTTCATCTAAAAATGCAAGGTTTGTTTTAAACATTTTCCCCTCAAATCAAAACATAAAAGGAGGTTGTGCCCGCACGACATCCTGATGGCACCGGTGATGCCGTCGTACGTACGTAGTCTAGCACGGCCCCACCGCCCAGGCATTGCATGGCGGTCAATGCATGCATGCTAGGGATCTGGTCAGTGTCCAGTACCTGGAAAACTGCAATGCCGAGATCCCGGTTTCACCGGGGAACCGAGAATCGAGAGCCAGATCCGATCGAGCCTACCATTACAGATCAAGCCCCAACACCTCCCCCTTTACCGGACTTCCAATTCCATGCCTGCTGCCATGCCAATGTTGCGTCGCGTGCGGCCACGCACGGGCACGGCCGGCGTCGACGGCGAGGACCGCCTCAGCGCACTACCCGACGATCTCATCCGCCTCATAGTACGCAGGCTCGACACCCGCACCGCGCTGTCCACCGCCGTCCTTGCCAGGCGTTGGGCGCACATCCCCCGCGATCTGCCGGAGCTCCACTTCAGGGTCAGCGACGTGCTCCCGCCCGAGTACGACCGGACCGTCGCCCTCCGCCGGCGCAACATGCCGCATGACACGTTTCTGGCCGAGATGCTGGACCGTCTCATGGCGCGCTGCGAAATCGACACGATCACGGCGTTCATCGACGGCATCACCGGATTCTTGGAAGCGGGCGGTGGCCCTGCTGACAGCGACGCACGTCGGCGCGCCAAGACCCTGCGTCTGGAGTTCTTCCAGGCACACGATGGCGGCTGCATCGTCGACCGCCTGATTGCCGCCGCGGTAGGCGCATGGGGAGTGAAGGATCTGGAGGTTGTTGCCAGGCAAGCTTCCTGCCATGTCCTTCAGGCGCCGCCATACTGCTTTCCTCACGATCACGACTGCCTCAAGGACGGCCTTCGCAGCTTGACGCTGGGTAACTACTGCACGCTCCCGCCGCTGCATAGGTACGGCGCTCTCACCACGCTAGTCCTGCGAGACATGGCCGCTTCCACGCCCGTTGACGTGTATCAGAGGGTGTTCACTGAGTGCACGCGGCTGCAGGTGCTTCACCTGATATCCTGTTGCTGTGCACAGGACTATGTCGTGGTGGACGCGCCGTGTTCACAGATCAGGGAGCTCATCCTGGACAAGTGCAAGTTCATGGTGATCGAGCTGCGCCACCTTCCAATGCTTGTTAGCCTGGCATGCTGCCTAAACGACACTAAAAGACTCGTATTCGGCTCGGTCCCCAGCCTCATGCACACTAACCTCACATTCGCAATAGAAAGCTGGATAGTTCCAAAGCGGTGCAAGGATTTCTTCACCCGGTTCATCGACGTGTCTCCTACCATGACGAATCTCATCCTCCGCTTTTCCGGGCTGAGAAGATGGATGGTGCCCACTGCACCGGCCAAGCCATTGCTCAACCTGAAAAAGCTCCTTGTGGCCGATCTGCCTGCGAATTGGAACATCACATGGCCACGCGGCCTCCTTTTGGCCGCGCCCTCACTCGAGGTCCTGCACATTCATGTGCCTTGCTCGGAGGAGGAGCCAACTTACGGGAGCTTGAGAATGAGCTCACTCGAGGCGCTTCAGCGCCATCACTGCCTCAAGGAGCTTGCCATTACTGGATTCTTGCAGCGCCACATGTGGTTTTTGAAGTATGTTGTGAGCGTGTGCACATCGTTGCAACGTGTTATCCTGCTTAAAGATGATGGTCATGTTCGATACAATGGTCTTTGGGATTGGGAGATGATTGGGCAGCAAGCATGTCCTTGGAGCAATGATGATGAATTGGTGGTGAGGAGAATAATCAAATCTGGGTGCAGGCCTCTCGTTGAAGTCACCCTGGGATGATCTTGGCGAGCTTGGCATTGCCGACTTCGAGCGATTCAGAAGGGATTTTCGGCTTCGCTGTCCGTGGTTTGAAAGCGACACCCCGATAGGCCTTGTGTGGGATCAAAGCATGTGATGAGACGGATATAGAACTTTTTATCTTTTTCATGCCTCTATTTCAATC